TAGATGCTGTGTTCTCATCCCTGTTCAGGTACCTAATAGTTCTTCCAGGGGTGAACTTTGGTGGAGCAGTGGAGGGGGGAGAGGATTTAGAAACAACCAGAAATTCCTGTCTAAGGACAGAGATTAATGGCCAGCATCAGGAAGCGTGTAGACTCTTTGGAGAACTCCAGCCCTCAGCTAAGGTCCATGTCTATTCTTGCCCTAAAAAGGTGATAAGAAAAAGGCTATCCAAAGCTGCTAATTCCCCATGAAGTGTGAGGGGGTGGCAGGGTGCCTGGAGAGAGGACTTGGAATTTCCTCTGTATGCATGGTAGTAACCTAGCCAAAAGCCTGCAGTGTTTGAAGACATCACGTTTGGAGACAAATGACCAGGATCACGTGCTCCATTGGTGGGAGCCAGAAATCTGAATACAGTCAGGAACAATTTAGAGGAGCCACTGTGCCACTCTGCCATGGAAATCAAAGAGGGCTCCCAGGACAATGAGTCCATCTGAGGACTCCTTCTCCTCCCATGAGATCATATAAGCTACACTCCTACCCCTGACTGATATTCATCTGGTACACACTAGTCTGGCCCTGTTGATTATTTATGATCAAAGCCTCTTCTAACTGATGCTGGTTGTTAAATATTAGTATTTTGAATATTATTCTTATTAACATATCCCGTATTTCCAGAAACCATCTTAGAGGAAAGTTAGAACTCCCAAAAATAGAGAATTTAATCCGTAGCGACTGAGCATTTACCTAAAGAGACTGCTAAAAATTTGAATAGGGCTTAACATATTAAGTTGGACTAAAATTAAGTTGTCCTTCCGTTTGCCTCTAAGGTGAAAAACCCGTAAAGGGAGGATCGGATTAACTAATTGAATATAAACAAACCACATTGCTTCTCTATGAAATTTAGTGAATTTGCAGCTTTGTGACAAATTCTGGTGTAGAGGAGTTTGGAAAGATTTGGGGACTTCCATTTTCACTTCAGTCCATCAGCAATGCTAAATCCTGTAAGGCAGGGACTTTGATCTCTTTTGTTCACAGCTGTATCTCCAGTACTCAGAATAAATGTCTGGCACATGGTAGGTGCTCAATAACTATCTGTTGAAGAAATTACAACTATAAGATAAGGCAGACTTGCAAAGTGCCCTTAAGGAATCACAGTGCAATTTCAACAAAAGCAAAGAGTCGCTGTGTGACCGCCATCATACTCCCTTAGTTTTCAGCTCCCTCTAGCATATTCTATTCCATTTTAGGCCCCCAAATTTAAGAGCGGCATTCTGCAATAAACTAGAGAGGATCCAGAAGAGAGTAGGTAGGACAAGAGAATTCTGAAAAACACCCAAATAAGGAATAGTTGATACTAATTGAGGGAAAAAATGACTGATGAGGGATAGGATACTATTTTCAAATGTTAGAAATTCATCAAAGATGAAAATGGAATAAGTGTATGATTGCATGTTCATAATTAGACCCAATGAAAAAAATTATGGATAGGCAATTTTGGCTCAATGTAACAAAAATACCAACTTTAATTTTCCAATAACGGAATGGATTGCTTTGTGAACCAGGATGTGAGAATTACATTTTATCTTGTATTTTCTTTCCCATATTCACTGGTATTTGCCTCCCTTTCCCCTAAGCTCATTGTATCTTCTTGAAAGCAGAAAAATGTAAAATTTGGAATGTAGGGTTAGATTAAAACTTTATTACTGTTAAGAGTTGTGGGGCCTATCAACTGATTGTCAGTTATCTCAGTCCCTAGGGTCATAAGGTGGCAAACTCAAATCTGAGAACATATCCTTGACTATTGAGTCCATAGTGCACTCATTATCTGATGTCTGTTGCAAAGTGAAGTTGCAAATTTTGTACAAGAGGTAAGACATCAGGAAATTGATGAAAATGTAAGAGAATTGCCCAGTCTCATACAAAACCATTTGCTAATGAGGATTTGGTAGGGTCATTTCTGTTAATAACTGAATAAGAAGAGTCTGAAAACAAAAGGAGTTGATAAGTGCTCCAGCGGGAATTCTAGCAACTGTGTTTGAAAGTCATTGGAGTATCCAAGGATGAAGACAGGCCCTTGGCAAAACTGATGAAGCCCTTGAATACTTTTTGCAAAAATAATCCTTTTTATATCAGTTTGACAAAAGTCACTCCAAAGATACAGGATATTGCTTCATGTTGTTACAAAATTGATCAGAAAAATTATCTTACCCAGGAAATGGTAGACAATTTATTTTGTGGTCTTTTTTTTTTTTTTTTTTAATTTATTTATTTTTGAGAGAGACAGCACAAGCCAGGGAGGGGCAGAGAGAGACGGAGACACAGAATCCGAAGCAGGCTCCAGGCTCTGAGATGTCAGCACAGAGCCCGATGTGGGCCTCCAACCCACAAACTGTGAGATCATGACCTGAGCCGAAGTCGGACGGCCAACTGACTGAGCCACCCACGTGCCCCTTTTTTATTTTGTGGTCTTACAACTTACATATAGCTTCTGTCCACTTAAATTTTGTTAAATATTAGGTCAAAAAATATTTCTCATAATTTTTGCTTTTATTTTTTAAGATGAATTTAAAATGAGTTTTCTCCCCCTGTTGTGAAATTTAGTCTTCATTTTACATAGATTCCATTTTGGTGGAATTTTCCAGCAATAATTATCCTCCAAAAGTGCACAACTTCTGGATCTCTTTGTTTCCTCCACCAGAGATGTTTTTTTCTCTTAGCTTTGTCAAAAAGGGACAAAACATATCAATAAATGCTATTCCTCTATGTGAGTTGCCCGTATGGATATAAAAGGAACAGCTGCACCTTATTTGCCACCTAGCACAGTACTAAGGACCTTGGAAATAATCAGTTAATAATTCTTTTTTCATTTGCTATTTATTCATTCATTCGCACTAAGTAGTTATTCTGAGTTAACAACTTACCTTATTAATAATATGTTACCTATATACATATACAGAAATACTTCTTATGTATTATGTAATATGTTTATTGTAGATGAATTCAGAAAATAAGAAAGAGATCAAGAAAAAATCAGATGTAATCTTACCACTAGGAAATAAAAGTGGATGATATTTTGCAAATAGATGCTTATAGACTTTTCTTCCTATATGTGCATAAAGTATATGTATTTATACACTTGTATATTATACAAATATATACAAACTACATAAGCATATATAATTTAATATACAAATTATATAAGCATATAAGAATACATATTTGTACATCATATAAACATAGATATTTTAAAGATATTTATACTGGGGCGCCTGGGTGGCGCAGTCGGTTAAGCGTCCGACTTCAGCCAGGTCACGATCTCGCGGTCCATGAGTTCGAGCCCCGCGTCAGGCTCTGGGCTGATGGCTCGGAGCCTGGAGCCTGTTTCCGATTCTGTGTCTCCCTCTCTCTCTGCCCCTCCCCCGTTCATGCTCTGTCTCTCTCTGTCCCAAAAATAAATAAACGTTGAAAAAAAAATTATAAAAAAAAATATATATTTATACTATGCATACTATTTTATAAATCGTTTATCTCAGACATTTTTAATAAGCATATATCTACCTAATCATAATGACTGAAGAGTATTCGATTACATGATTATGTCATAATTTGTTTATGAAATTTTCTACTCTTGGTCATTTAGATTTCTTCCAAGAACTTTTTTTATTATTAACATTGTAATTACCCACACATACATTTATATTCATTTGTCCATCCTTTTCAGGCGAAATATTTTATACCACGTTAGGCTTGAAGATTTAAAAATTAAGAATATTAACAGAACATTTAGGGGCGCCTGGGTGGCTCTGTCGGTTGAGCGTCCAACGTCAGCTCAGGTCATGATCTCATGGTTTGTGGGTTCAAGCCCCGCGTCGGGCTCTGTGCCGACAACTCAGGGCCTGGAGCCTGCTTCAGATTCTGTGTCTCCCTCTCTCTCTCTCAGCCCCTCCCCCATTCTCTCTCTGGCTCTCTCTCTCTCTCTCTCTGTCTCTCTCTCTCTCTGTCAAAAATAACCATTAAATTTTTTTTAAAAAAGAATATTAACAAAACATTTAAACATTAAAAAACAAGCAAAATGAATCTACAGGATTAGAAGTCAAGACAATGGTTGTCACTGGGGAGTCAGGTGAGTGTTTTGATTCGAAAGAGACATAAAAAGTGTTTCAAGTGTGTTTGGACGATTCTATGGTTTGATATGGAGGTCCATCACATGGGAGCGTTCACTTCTTAAAAATGTAACAAACTTGGGGCGCCTGGGTGGCGCAGTCGGTTAAGCGTCCGACTTCAGCCAGGTCACGATCTCGCGGTCCGTGAGTTCGAGCCCCGCGTCGGGCTCTGGGCTGATGGCTCAGAGCCTGGAGCCTGTTTCCAGTTCTGTGTCTCCCTCTCTCTCTGCCCCTCCCCCGTTCATGCTCTGTCTCTCTCTGTCCCAAAAATAAATAAATGTTGAAAAAAAAAATGTAACGAACTGTATGTTTATGACTTGTCCCTTTCCACTTTCTTGTATTTATGTAACACATTAATAAAATAAATTAACAAATTGTGCTATGGTATGCATCCATGTTTACATCCTTAAGTAAATCCTAAGAACCAAATGCTTAGTATTATCATTTTAAGTTTTCTTAAATTCATGTTGCTAATTATTCTGCAAAAAGTTTGCACCAGTTTTGACTCTTACCAACAATATATAAGATGTGATTTCACTGCATTCAAATTTATACTTACTGTCATCATTTTTCTAACGTTTAATGATTTATAAATTTAAAATTTGACTATTTCTCTGTCTAACTTTTTATTTGAAGAAGTTTCAGACTTCTAGAAAACCTGAGAGGCACCTGCATGGCTCAGTCAGTTAAGTGTCTGACTTGATTTCCATTCAGGTGGTGATCTCAGCCCCACGTTAGACTCCATGCTGATAGCACAGAGCCTGCCTGAGATTCTGTCTCTCCCTCTCTCTCTCTCTCTCTCTCTGCCCCTCCCCCACTTGTGCTTTTTTTTCTCTCTCTTTCTCAAAATAAATAAACTTAAAAAAAAAAAGAAAAGCTGAAAAAATAATATAACAGGCACCCATAGATCCTTCATTAGATTTGCCAACTTTCAACTTTTTGCTACATTTTTTTGTTTCTTTGCCTCTAATTATAGCCTTCCCACACACTTGCATATGCACACACACAAGTGTGTGTGTATATAGGCACACACATATTATTTACATACATACATATATTATTTTTTCATTTGTGAACTATTTGAAAAGATTTAGACATCATGACAATTTACCCCTTAATGCATTACTTAAGAGTAAAAATATGTTTCTACCTAACCATAATACCTCCATCATGCCTTGAAACATCAATAGTTCTTCCAAATTATGAAGTAATATCTAATCTATATCCATATTTCCACAACTGCCCTCAATATATACTCTTTTGTGTTTTTTAAATACAGCATTAAATCAAGTTCATTCACTCATTGCAGTTGGCTGTTTTGTTTCTTCAGTCTTTTTTTTTTTTTTTTTACCTAGAACAGTCCTGCCACCATACCCTACCCCACTTTCTCTCTTGACATTGAAACTTTTCAAGTCTACGTCACTTGAAAACTTTCTGTTTGTTTTCAAATGTGCACAACTGTGCTTGATTTTACAGGCTTATGTTACACAATTATTATAGGTTTGCAGGAGTGCATATATCAGCAACTGTAACAAATTTTCATTTTTGCCTATTGGTTAATAAAAGCAAGTGGCTGGATCTCCAGTTGGGCACCAGATGTTTTTACTGAGGGAGGAAAAAAAAGCATTAAGAGCTTTTAAATCTTACACTATTGCTTTGATCATAGAAGAAACAATACTGACATTTCGTTCTCCAAAGTGTGTTGTGAGGGTTTTCCTTGATATTGACACAATATATTCTTCAATGAATCAGTTAGTATAGAACCAGTTTAAAAGACCTGAAAAGGGAGTGACAGCCAAGAAGGATATTTTGAAGTTTGAAATGATCCCTATATAAATAGAACGGATCAGCATAACTTTGGGATAAAATTAGCCGACAGTTTGTGGGCTCTCGCTTGTGCCTGTTTGCTTGGTGCTACTCTCCTGATAAATCACAACAAAGCTTCCAGAGGGAGAGGAAGGATGGAGGGCACCAACACCCCTGTCACTAAATCTGCAGCTGCCAAGTTAGTTAAGAGAAATTTCCTTGAGGCTCTAAAGTCAAATGACTTCGGAAAATTGAAGGCCATTTTAATCCAAAGGCAAATAGATGTGGACACAGTTTTTGAAGTTGAAGATGAGAATATGGTTTTGGCATCTTATAAACAAGGTAAAAACTATAGGTGTGAGTGTAAAATCGATAAAAAACGGATTTGTTTTAAATGCAGTGTCAGTCACCCACTCTAAACCAGTAGCTCTTGGGGTTTAAGTATGTATTTTAAAAATATTTCTGATTTAATCTTTTCTCTTTTTTAACTAGACACCATCATGGGTGGTATAAATATGTTTTTTTTTTTTCTTTTCTTTTCTGTTCTGTTCCTTTTCTATCCTTGTGTCTGGAATTTGAAATCGTGAACAATTATATTTATTAATGTACTTTGCTTTTGTTTCTAACTTTTCTTCTGCCTGTAATGATATAGAATAAAGAAAACATCTCCAGATTACGGCTAAACAGACTGCTAAAATCTAATCCAGTGTGACTGCTAACTGTCTATTAATACAACCACTTAACGATATATCATTTCTGTATCTATCTGGATGAAAAAGAGGATTTTGCCCCCATTTGGAGGGTTACTGAATGGGGAAGGCTCTGCCTTGAGGCACCTTTTTGGTCCTCAACATGTCAATGAGTTTTTAGTTCAGGCAAAAATCTGAAACCAGAAACACCAAAAAGTTAATTTTTTTTCCTTGGGTACAAGAATAGATCAAAATTGTAGATATTCTCCATACAGAATACCTGCCTTTTAAAGAACTAAGGATAGCAAAAATGAGAACGGAATTTTTTTTTATCTGGGGATTTTCTGGAATCCACGCTTAGGAAATCAGAAATGAATTAGAAGTGTGCAGATTCTGATTTCCCAAATCAGCTAGTTAATGGGGGAACTTGAGTAGCGAGGCCATCTGGTGAGCAGACTACAAGCAAACACCACGTTCTCCATCACTTCTGTTTAAACAAAAGAGACGATAAGGTCAGCATTTGGGGAGAGATAGCAGTTCTTTTTTCAGGTGGAAAGTACTTTTCATTTGCATACAAATCATCAGTGCCATCAATGTTCAGAAACAATGTTAATGGTATATGTTTTCACATTTATTTACCATACTCTGGTTGTTAGTTCTGAAGGAAGGATATAATAGTGGAGGCCAGTTACTGTGTTTGTGACTCTTACTGAAGGGCTTTATCATACATTGACATTGCTATTTTAGCTAGAAGATAACAGAGGTCTGGTTGGTTTTTTGTTTTTTGTTTTGTTTTGTTTTGTTTTTTAAGTAGTTGATTGGGCTCTGTTAGAAAGAAGGAGTGTGTCCCATGTAATCAGATTACTTTCACCTTATGGATTTGTTCGGTGAAAGACTGTCCGAATGCTAAATACATTTTTAAGGTATGTTTTAAGCTTATACTGGTGCTCATGTAAAATAACTGAGGTCCAAGTTGGCATAATTTATGTGACACTGAGCTGTAAAGACTGCCTTTTCCCATCTCCTGAACATGCCAAACTGCATGGATTGCCCAAGGTTCTGAGGTTGTGAGAAAGGGCATTTTAGGGCAGGTTCGAGGGAAGAAGGGTGTTGTTTCTTTTGCTTCCAATGGTGTCATCACCCCTGAATCAGAAGAAGATGCATTTTTAATCTTTTCTGTCAATATGACCAGACTCCCGTGGTGTTCATAGAGCTAAATATTCATTCATGCTAACAGGTGTTTTCATAGTGTTAGGACCGCAGAATATGCCTTTCAATTAGAGAAACAGCAAATTGCACCCTCTGGGAAAGGAAAAAAGAAGAGTTTGATTCTTATGCATGCCAGATGAATGTATGCACAGAAACAATAGGATATGTGGTCATATCTTCAGGGTTTATACAGGAACTGTGTGTATGTGGGCATGCGCACACGTTTGTATGTATAGAAAATACATGTATGGGTATAAGAATCTATCTCTTCAATCTTAAACCCAGATTAAAGTCTTATCTTTCTTCAAAGCTTCTTCTAACTTTTTTTTTTCACACTTTCACATGTCTTCTAGCCTAATTATCAAACCTTTTAATATTTCAGTCAGGAATGGAAGTGATAAATAAAATCTTAGTTGCTAGCCAAGCAAAGTCGACCTAAGTGGCTGGATTAAACTTTGTGAGACTTTATTAAATCATAGCAGACTTTTTGGACATTGAATGCTATTGGATTGCTCTTCACTAGTTATTTTTTTCAAGCACTCTTGAAAGGCTCTGCACCAAGAAAAGTGTACACATCATAAGTGTACAGCATCATTAATTTTCACAAAATAAACAAACCTATATAGCCAGCATTAAGATGTGGAAACAGAAACACTACCTGTTTACTTTTAGTGTGGGAATCTTCAGGTTTTGGTTATTTTGTGGCTTATTAAGCAAGACAATGTTTCAAACCTATGAAAGATACCATGCTACCTTTAAATTTGCTTGTATGATTAATAATATAACCCACATTCAATATTTCATTGTCCTGCAGCATATCAACAGGGGTTCAATTTATCCCCAACCTTTTTTACTTCTTTTAGGACATACAGCATTTTTCATAGAATTTCAGAAAGCGACCACACTTTTCCCCTTAAATATGGTATGTCTAAGCTAGTAGACAAGTCGGTTTATAATTTTTGGAAAGACAACTCAGAAATCTGTTGGCAAGGAAATCAACTTGGGGTCTAAACATTGCTTCCCCAAATCCACAATCCAATTGGCACACTAACGGAAGCAAATGTAAAATGTGGATTTTGTGAGGAAGGCAGAACAAAGCATCTGGAAATTCACTTCTACTTCCTCATCTCTAGCAACAGAGAACAAAATCCCAGAGCTCAGGTTCAAGCTGTGGGGCCCGCCCAGACCCAGTACTTAAGAATGATTCTTAAAGTTAGAGAGATCATGTTTTGTTTTTTAAAGTTATGTTAAACTTCATGATCAAATCTTCAAATAAAATCATGTTTTTATTAATTGGAAAAAAAAACCCCAAAACATCTGCCTCACACTTTGTAAAGCAAACATTAAAAACATTCTGGTTGGCATTTGGGATAACTCCAGGAGCATAGCAGAGACATGTGTCTTTAAAGCAAAAACAGGCAAGCGAAATTCCTTCTACCAGAGGACCGCTTTAAGATGGGAATGACGTGAAGAAACGTTAAATACACCCCCAACTTTTGAAGTGCCCCATACAAGGAGGTGCGAGGTCAAGGGTTTTCCGTGATACAAAGTTTCCTAGAGTCAAGCGCCCAGGATCCAGAGTGAAAGCAGGATCTGTAAGAAAACCCGGAGCTAATTCCTATTGGTTCTCACCAGTGTTCTCTGCCCTGGAAACGCCAACATCCATAAAGCTGTTTCCAAAGCTTTTTCCAACTACATATTTTGATTCTCTTTCCGATGTATGAGGCTTGGCGCGTTAATGATACAGGCAGAATATCATACTTATCTCTTGGGTATGAAATTCCCTCGTCAGCAAGGTTAATCAGAGTCCTTTTATTAATCAGTGTAATGCACTCTAAGCACTTCATTTATGGCCCACAGCAGCAGCTACTTCGGTTGGTAGTCATATTTTTAATTAAAATAACCAATGAATGATTTCACAGGAAAACTTTCTGGCAGGTACTCTATCTACTTTACTAAGTCACAACTTCCTCCCAAGTATCTCAAAAGCTCTTATTTCCACTCTCTTAATGAACAGACTCTTTATCACCTCATGTTCTTCTTTGCCAGAAATTCGCTCTCCTACTTTCCTATTACCATCTTAGGGTTCTTATCCCTCCCTGAACGTTCAAACGTTTTTCTTTTAAATTTTGCATTTCAAGCTGACTTTGTTTTTCTTTGCTGGGGGAGTTCTGAGATTTTTCCTGAAAACATTAGCTATTAAAAAATAGTCAAGAATTGTGCGTCAGTCTATAATCCTTCAGGACTGTGTAAATACATGGACACAGGCAGAGCAAATGTCTGCTAATCCCGCCACGAACAGTGTGTCCAAACTTTGGCTGTAATAACAGAAGCTTCTCATGTGTAGGGTTCTTTGAACTCAGATAACATTATAGCTGATAACTGTTGCAGAACCCAGGAGGAGCTGAAAGTTTACCAGAGATGTATACATCCCCCCTAAACACAGAGCAGAATCGATTCCTTCTTCCAAAAATGGCCCAAACACTTTTCTCCTTACCATATTTCCTGAGCTGGGGGCTTTCCACTCGGCTACTCAGGCATCTCTCTTCGGTTTCACATTTAAAGTAAACACACACACACACACACACACACACACACACGATTACTCTGCATATTTTTGTAGGGGTGAAACTTCTAAAATCCCTTTAGAACTTTTGCCTACAGGTGCTATTGGTTGAGAAGTGAAATGCATGTAGCCGTCAGATCACCCGTGGCTATTTAAAGATTTGGGGGAGCCCAGGGTTTGAGTGGATCTGTCAGTACCAGTTATACAGGCGTGAGCCCTTTATGCTACTTAATCTTATTCTTATTTGTAAAGTGGAGGCTTTGTCAGGACCTTCTCTAAATCCCCTGCATGCTGATAATCTACGATGTTATGAAGGGGAAATTATATAAACAGATTATGTGTCATGGTCTGGGGAAGGTGAAAAGTAACCGTAGATACGATAAATCCACATGGGCATGGCCTGTATTTGAGAGTCTCTGTGGGGTTTTTGCATAGGAGGGAGGATCTGTCTCTTCTCTTCTCATTTAAACACTTGGCTCAAGAAGAGCTTAGAGCCATGGCTACACAGACTGCAGACCTGTGGGGGGGGGGGGGGCGGGCGGAAGCGTGAGTGGCTCAGGTTAGTGGGAGGCAGCAGCTTCCTCACCCTCCCACTTGGGGGCTCTGTGCCAGGTTCTGCTCCATTCCTGCACTTTGTGCCCATCTGAGCACACAGAGAGCAGCCTGGCATCTGCAGAGGTGAGCGTAGGGGGGGGGGCTCTTTGAAAGATAAATGCTAAGAATCAATCACATGCTGGATTCTGAAGCCCTGGGACAATTCCGCCCTGGAAAGGAGGCTGAGTATAAAAAAATGATTATACCCAATTAGTTAACTGTATTTCTGTTATGCTGCTACTGTTGCTGGTTATATTTTAGAGGACAAATTCTGATGTCTTGGCATTTCAGTATCAACACAAGAATGTTAATAGGTGCTGCATCACCGTGGTTTTCGAGGATGGCTTTACTTCAGGTTTGATCCTCAGAGAGGGTAGGTGTGATGGAAAGGACACTCTTGCTCCTTGGTACAAGGCGCCCCGTGACTGCAGCCCCATTTTAAGGTGTGAGTGTATGTGGGTGGCCTCTTGCTATGGGCTTTTCCTTTCTCTACAGGAGGCTTTCCTGCTATGCCGGGGGTTGAATTATCCAGAATCCACCCCCCTTTCCCCACACACATAGCATCACCAAAAAGTTCTGCAACATGGCTTCAAGATATTCTTCAGTATGTCGGCCCTGATCTGTATCTGACAATCTGCCCCCTTCCTATTTCTCTATTCAGTTTCTACGGGCACCACGACAGTGTCTTGTTGCCAACCACCTACACACGTTTCCATCTAGGAGAGGGGAGTTATAAGCACAAGTTCACCCAGGGGGTGGGCTGAATCCCAAAACCCAGCTGTCTCCGGGGCTGATTTACTGGTTAATGATTATGAGCAAAGGACATGCAGATGAAAGGGGCTGAGAGGCTAAGGATGACAGATTCATATAATAAATAGGCAGGATAGACTCTCTAGGTGCTACTGGGAATCTAGGAAGAATAAAAAAACATCAACAAGCAAATGCATTTCCATATCAGAGCTGTGGAATATTATAGATGCATTCAGGACCTTCTTTCCTTCCTCGTGATTTGTGAAGCAGGCTTGGCGCTAAACCTATTCTGCTTCCACAAAGACAAAGACAGATGGAAACGCTGCATTGCAGATATCCTGAGTCCATTAGCTTGGACTGAAGTGGGCGACTTATGGCTCTAGCAGGCTGAAAAAGTGGCAGTTTTCTCATCTGGAAAATGAAAGGCTTGGACTGGATAATCTTCCCTCCAGTGCTAACATTCGGTGTTTTCTTTGATTTTACATCAAAATGGTGTTTTCTTAATCAGCTCTCTACTGCTTCCTTTCCGAGATCATTTTTCTTCCCATTGCAGAAGCAGGCACGAGTTTCCAATCAGTTGGTGCACAGAGCTGCCAAATCTTTGCTGCTAATCAGCAGGCAAAACATACTCTGGTTTCCAGATCTGGAACCAGCTTCTTTCCAAGGCAGTTAGAAGAGACTAGCTTTGCAAATTGCTTGTTGAGGAGATTTGAGCATTACAATGACTGATTAGGTATTGGGTATTGTTGAGATTCATTCATGATCAAAAGCAGGTTGCATACCGTATAGCCTGAAAACTCTGCTCAGAACACAGATTCAATGTACATAGCTAAATAGAAATGTATAAATGGGTACATACACGTACACATGTAGTGTGAGTGCCTATTTGCACACACACACACACACACACACACACACACACACACTACAGGCACAGGAATTACGATCCCACAGCCCCAGAGTACCTATGATACTAATTGTCTCTGGCAGTACCTGTGATACAAATTGTCTCTGCCAGAGAAAAGTCCATATCAACGAATAACTTCCCTTCTCAGCATCTGGAATCTCAAATTAGTATCTTAGCACTCAGTTTGATTAGTTGAATACAGATTCCTACATAAATTCAGATAATCCTAAGAGGGTCACACTTTAAAAAATCCTCAGTTCATTAGACTTTAGTATGAATTAACTTTGGATTTCCTTTTAAAGAGCAGATTTGGATAAGGGAAGAGCTGAGAGGGATGGGGAGCAAAATGGCCGTAGAATTCTAATGGAATGAAAAAGGGATTTGTGCGTGTGTGTGTGTGTGTGTGTGTCTAGGTTGGAGAGTAGGCTACAGAAAAACAAACTTCAGGTTGGGTTCATTCATTATCTCATGATTAATTGGTATTGTGTACATCCCTATAAATGGCCTTTAATTAATTATTTATTTATTTTAAATGTTTATTTATTTTTGAGAGAGGCAGAGACAGAATGTGAGTGGGTTGGGGCAGAGAGGGAGGGAGGCAAAGAATCTGAAGCAGGCTCCAGGCCCCGAGCTGTCAGCACAGAGCCCGATGTGGGGCTCCAACTCACGAGCTGTGAGATCATGACCTGAGCCAAAGTTGGATGCTCAACCGACTGAGCCACCCAGGCACCCCAATAAATGGCCTTTTAAACTAAATTATCTTTTCCCCTACAAACAGGGGGGCAATCGTTTATTTTAATTTTACTTATTTTTACAAATAGTTATACAAGCACAAACGTACTGAGTTTAAAAGCTCAAAGGGGGCATCCAAAGACACATAAATCTATGCCCTTGTCCCCTAGCCCCCAGTTCTTGGAGGCCACCACTATAACCAGTTTCTTGTTCTAGGTGTTGATAAATATTTTCACATATGATAGCATATTAAGTGCACTGGTCAGCCCCTGCTTCTCTTGCTCAATAATATATCTTGAGATTTTTCCATATCCATTCCAAAGATATACCATTTTCCAGTATACACAGAACTGCTCTCTTCTTTATAATAGCTGTATAGTATTCGATTATATGGGTACACCATAATTTTTTAAACAATCTCCAAATATTGACGAGGATTGAGATTGTTTCCAGTTGTTAACCATTAAGAACTATGCTGTAGTGTGATGCCTATTCTTGTCCACAGGCCAGGTTATAACTCCTGAGAACTTTATACTTTTCACAAAGATTTCAGTACAGATGGTGTCCTTGGAAGTTGTGCAATACTGTGGCCCCTATAGGGCATTTCACACATGAGTGATTATACTTGTAGGATAAATACCCAGGAGTAGCATGTGTGTAATGTTTCTCACTTAAATGAGAGGATTTTGATTCCTGACCACCAGGCCCACTGGTAACATGGTCATCATCCTCTGAATGCCCTCCTGGTGCTCATCATTGGTGCTCAAAAGTAGTCACAATAGTCTAGATTTATTCTGACCTCATGTAACCAGTAAAAATTACCACTTTTACCTCTCTTGTTTTGGGCACTGCACTTTTATTGACGTATCTTAAGGTTGTATTAGCTTTTCGGCAGCTCCATTCCGCTGTTGGCTCCTTTTGAGAATACTGTCAACTCAAATCCCTAGGTCTTTTCTCAAATAGATTACCATTAAGCCATATTCCGCTTACCTTGTACTTGCATGGTGGAATTTTATACCTTAAAAGCAAACTTCTGTTTTACCCATGTTAAAATATATTTTGTTGTTTCAGCCCTAGAGCTTCTTCTAAGCTGTTATGTCTACATCTTCACCCTGCCATCAATATTTTATCTTTCTGAAGCTATTTTCCATTACCCACTCATAGTGGGCTTAATGCCATGGCTCTATGTATTGACATTGAAAGAAGGTATATACAGTTAAGTTTGTTATAGCTTGTGAGACATGTGAGAGACAGAGAGACAGAGAGAGAGGGAGAGGGAGATGGGGAGAGAGAGAGAGAGAACATTTCCAACGACTAATGGGAAAAATTCATCTAAGATCTCAGTTCTAGGAACAGCTATGCTTCTCCTGGGCAATTAATTTGTGTATAGCTTGTGGGCATGGTTAATTGTGCAATACATCATGTTTTCCTATTTATTTTGGCTGCTAGGAAGTTCAAAGGCAAATTTGCAATGTGGTTCTAGTGTACAGGACACAGTTTATATTTTGTGTACCTATCTTACCCATTGATCACTTTTATTTTCCTACCTTATTTTTTCCCTTTGCCCTTGTTTTCTAGATCGTTAGAAAATCTGGTATTGTGTAAACTTTGTGAGTTGCCTTAAATCCTTCTTTGAAAGAGGAATTGTATAAACCAACAGGCAGGCAAATAAAAGCTTGGCATGATAAATTTTTTAAAGACACCAACTACATTCATATTTTAGACTGACAACAACCAGTAAAGTAAGGTTAAAAAGTTTAAGCTTGTAACTAACAGCTTTGGAATCACTCAAGAACATGATTGGGACTTAAAACAATAAGAGTCTCATGTAACTCACCACTTAAAATAAAATGCAATCATGTAAATGAGGTCTCAAACTCAAATGCCTTGAAGGGCCAGGAAGATAAAATAAATAAAAGAACAAGATAATGGAGAATAGTAGAAACAGAGAGACTCGCGAGTGCCTGTTCCACTCAAGTACATCCAAGTATGCTTCTATTTGCAGACCCATCAGTTACTAGTTTACAACATCTGAATCACTCCCCCCAATTTTATAGATGTGACCAAAGTAAAAGACCTTGCAAAAATCCTCACAAAACAGAGAAAAATCCTAGGCCACTAAATGAAACTTTCTCCCTCTTCTTTTTCAGGTTATTGGCTGCCTAGTTATAAATTAAAGTCTTCCTGGGCAACAGGCCTGCATCTCTCTGTCTTGTTTGGTCATGTGGAGTGTCTTCTGGTGTTACTGGACCACAATGCTACAATCAACTGTAGACCCAATGGGAAAACCCCCCTTCATGTGGCTTGTGAAATGGCCAACTTGGATTGTGTTAAAATCCTCTGTGACCGTGGAGCAAAGCTGAATTGCTACTCCTTAAGTGGACACACAGCTTTACACTTCTGTACAACTCCTAGCTCCATTCTCTGTGCCAAGCAATTGGTTTGGAGAGGTAAGCCTTTCTGGGTGGCTGACGTTGTCATCCACTTCCACACCTAAGGTTTTGAAACTTAGTGATCTTTACCTACTTTAGGTAATGTAGTAGGCATCCCATTTATAAGCCTCATTTGGGGGCCCTAAAAATGCATAAGTATGTATATATTTATATAACTATATGTGTTGGTCCAGGTTATTTAGTGATGATCACATTGAAATCATTATTTTTTTTCATTATAGGAGCCTTATTAGTTTACACATTTATTTAACAAATATTTATTTAGTTCTCATGAGGTGTCAATTAATGTGTTAAGTAACTGAAAAAAATAGTTTCTGCCTTCAAGAAGCTATATTCTAGGAGCACCTGGGTGGCTCAGTTGGTTAAGCGTGCAACTCCTGGTTTTGGCTCACGTCATGATCTCATGGTTCCTGAGTTTGAACCCCACGTCAGGCTCCACAGTGCAACGCCTTCTTGGGATTCTCTCTATCTCTCTCTCTCTCTGCCCCTCCCCTGTTTGCTCTCTATCTGTCTCTCTCTCTCAAAATAAATGAATAAACTTTTAAAAAAGGAAGAAATCATATTCTAATAGGGGAGATAAATACTATCAAAATAAATTGGTAAATATATAATAATAAATTGGGAAAGGAGCAAAACAGGGTGTTGTGGAAGAGAATGCCAAGAGTGAACTATTATAAAATGTATAAAGACTTCTCTAAAGATATGACATGTAAGCTGAAACTTTATGAACGAGAGGGAACTAGCCATTAAAAAAGGAGCCAAGAGGAAGAAGAGTCCAGGTACAAGGAACAGTATGTGCAAAGTTGCTAAGGGAGCAAAACAACTGAACTATTCAACAGATGGAAGAAGGCCAGTGTGCCCGTGGGTGTGGGGTGGGTGGGAGGGACAAGAGGGTTCCGGGAGTGCCACACGACGACACTGGTTATGTTAGATCATATACAGCTTGCTGAGGGCCAAGGTATGGGGTTTAGAAATGGAGCCACTGAAAAGTTTTAAGCATGACAATGACATGGTTTAATTTTCACTTAAAATCATCATTCTGGAGTTATACAAGAATAGGGCTGGAGGAGCCCGAGTATGGAAACTGGGAGACCAGCAGCAAAGCGATTTTAACAGTGTAAGTGAGAAGGGATGGTGATTTGTATCAAGGGGCAAAGTTTGATAGGAAGATTAGAAGATGGGTTTGCAATATATTCTGGAAGCAGAGTCAGTGGCATTTGGAGATGGATTATATATGGATGAGGGGTAAAGGAAAAGGAAGTTTCAAGCATCCTTGCCAGATTTCTGGCTTTAGAAAATGGGTGGAGAGCGATGCCATTTTTAAAAAGTGTTTTTGATGTTTTCATTTATTTTTGAGAAAGAGAGAGAGAAAGAGAGATCAGGGGAAAGGCAGAGAAAGAGGGAGGCAGAGAATCAAAAGTGGGCTCTGAACTGACAGCAGAGAGACCAATGCAGGCAGGGCTTGAACTCACCAACTGTGAGATCATGATCTGAGCCAAAGTTGGACGCTTAACTGATGGAGCCACCCGGGTGCCCCATAATGCCATTTTTCTAAGATGGAGAGAATTGAGGAAGAAGCATATATGTGGAAAAGATCATTAAATTAGTTTTTTTAAAAATCATGTTTATAGAGCTATAATTTACACACAGTAAAGTTCGGTATTTTTGAGAAACACATAGTCATGAAACCATCATCACAGTCATTTCAAAAAGTTCCCTGATACCCTTTGTAATTAATCACCTCACTTTATCCCCACCTCCAGCAGCCACCGATCTAGTTTCTGTCCCTAAAATTTTGTCTTTTTCAGAATGTTATATAAATTAAATTACACAATATGGAGCCTTTCAGGTCTGTTTTTACCTACTTAGCATAATGCATTTAAGATTCATCCGTGTGGTTGCATTAGCCAGTATATTGAATCTTTTATTGTTGAGTTGTATTCCTTGTATGGATGCAACACAATTAATCTGGTCCCCAGTAGAGGGACATTTGGATTGTTTCTAATTTTTGGCAATTTTGGAAAAAAAAGGCTGATATAAACATTTGCCTACAGATTCTTATATGGGAATGTTCTCATTTCTCTTGGGTAAGTACTGAGGCGTGGGATGACGGATTGTAATAAATTTACAAGAAAACTGCTAACCCGTTTTTCAAAGGAGTTGTACGTTTTGCATTCTCACCAGCAACGTATGAGTTCAGTTGCTCTCCAGCCTTGCCAGAACTTGGTAATGTCAGATTAAAAGAAAAATTTATTTTAGTAAATTGAATAGGTATATAAAGTATCTCATTATGGTTTTAATTAAAATTCCCTTAATGACCAAGGATGTTGAGTATGTTTTCAGGTATTTTTTTTGCCAGCTGTGTATTCACTTTGGTGAAATGTCTGTTCATATCTTTTGCTCCCTCTCCCCTTCATGAAAATGGGTTGTTTGTTTTCTTATTATTGATTTGTGAGAGTTCTTTATATATTCTGGATACTAGCCCTTTATCAGATATGTGGTTTGCAAATATATTTTTTTTTATTTTTTTTTTCAACGTTTATTTATTTTTGGGACAGAGAGAGACAGAGCATGAACAGGGGAGGGGCAGAGAGAGAGGGAGACACAGAATCGGAAACAGGCTCCAGGCTCTGAGCCATCAGCCCAGAGCCCGACGCGGGGCTCGAACTCACGGACCGCGAGATCGTGACCTGGCTGAAGTCGGACGCTTAACCGACTGCGCCACCCAGGCGCCCCGGTTTGCAAATATTTTTATTCATTCTTTGACTTTTCATTCTTTCTGTCTTTAGAAGAGCAAAAGTATTTAATTTTAATAAATTCAATTTATCACTTTTTACCTGTTATGATTTATGCTTTGAGTGTCCTACCTAAGAAATCTTTGACTAATCTGAGTAATAAAGATTTTCTTCTATGTTTCCTTCTAAAGATTTTATAATTTTAGGTCTCAATTTTAGGTGTTTGGCTTATTTTGAGTTAATTTTTGTATATAGTATAAAGTACAGGTTGAGGCTCATCTTCTTTATATATGGATGAATTATCTTATATATACAACTGCTTCAATATCTTTTACTGAAAAGACTATTTTTTCACCTTTGAGATGCCTTGGTATCTTTGTCAAAAATCAAGTGGCCAGAAATATATGAATCCATTGATCTATATATTTTTTGCTGATGTTTCACTCACTTAATTGCTGTAGTTTTATATTAAGTCTCAAAATCAGATTGAGTTTCCCCAGATCAGTTTTAAACATGAGAAGTTTCAGATTTCTTTTAGACCTCAAAGTGAATGAGTCAAGGCTGCACTTGACATAAACGTATGGATTTCAGAAGAGAGTTCTGGACTAAAGCTGTAAGTTTAAGAATTGTTGGCCTATAGATTGTATTTGAAGCCAAAGAAATCAATGAAATCACTTGGATGAAAGGTGTGGAATGACAAAAGAGAAGCGAGGACCAAGCCCCGATACATTCTTACATTTGGATACTAGCAGGAGGGAGAGAGGCCAATAAATGAGAGTGAAATGGATTGGTAAGTGAAGTAGGAGGAAACCCAGGAGCATTTTTGGCATCATAGGGATTAAGAAAGAGGCAGGTTCAAGAAGGAGGAGGTGGTCAGCTGTATCAATGGCTACTCGAGAGACTTAATTCATTAGATGTTCATTAGATTACGTGACAGAGTTATCACTGACAAAAGAAGTTTGGGGGAAATGGTGGGTGTAGAAACCATATTAGAATGGCATAAGGTGTGAATGAGAGGTCAGAAACTAAGGATGGCACGTATAGACGACTGTTAAAAAAATGTCTGGCTGCACGTGTATGCGTAAGAGTAGCATGACTGCTGAAGGGGGCTAGGGGACATAAGAGATAGTCGTTGGAGATAAAAGGAAATATAGTTGTAGTTGGAGATAAAAGGAAATATTTGTGTGCTGAAGGAAATGGTTTTCAGAAAGCAAACAGTTAAAAATGCATGAGACAGAATAACTGAAAGGTTCAAATCTTTGAGGTTGAGATGGGGTGAAATCCAGAGACTGTGAGATACATCCCCATGTTTAACAGATGGTCTAAAGTAAAAGATGTCTTTAAAGAGTGTTCATTGATATGGTGGTGGTGAGATGAAGGAGTTCATGTCTGGTATGAACTTATACAATTAATGTGTGAGGCAAAGTCATCAGGCAAAAATGAGAGCAGAAAGGGTGGACATTGTGATGAGAATAGGAAGGTATGGAGGTGTCATGGGGGAAAGAATGGGGAAACAAGCTTAAAGATGCCATGGTCTTCTCAACCTGTGAGTATTTGGTGGGAAGGAAAATCAGTCCAACTTATTCTCCTTCTTGCCTTTCCTGAGAGGAAAGGTCCAGTGCAGAGATGCATGGAGAGGGGCAGGTGTCCATCAGGGCTTAGCCACCTATGGCACACGGCCATTACCACCGTTCACATTTACTTATACATTGATGGCTTTCAGATTTAGTTTTTATTTTAATTTATATTTTAATTCACTAATTTAAAATTTTAAGGCTGTCATTTTAAAAATTTTTATAAAGTTAAGAAATTGTATCATCTGTTGAATTACTGACTTTTTATATTGCTGCCTTTTCATGTGACTTCATCAACCACAGACTGACAGAAAGCTGCCAAGGCTTTCACTCCCCCGAGCTGTAATCAGAGGGAGCCTCATTCCCAGAGCAAGGGCTTTTTGCCCATCTCCTTTATCCCTATTGACATAGGGAGACCACCCGGAGATGAGAAGGAGTAAAGGGGTATGGAGAGACCAAGCAATGCTCACTCCCTGTAGGCTGACACTAATGAACGAGGCTAATAACAATCAAAGAGGAAGAGTGGAAGTCAATTAAAGATCTACTTACTCTTAGATCCATGGCATCAAAAGCCAAAGCCATAAAGGAAAGATGAATTAGAGAAAGCAAAAATATTCAATGTTCGAGTGGCAAACAAATTATAACATTAAAAGGCTGTCATAAAGCGGGGGAAAAAATATTTGAGACT